AACAATACGTGAACTGTGAGCTTCCAGATGTTCAAGCTGGTTTTAGAAAAGGCAGAGGAACCAGAGATCAAATAGCCAACATCTGCTGGATCATTGAAAAAGCAAGAGAGTTCCAGAAAAACATCTATTTCTGCTTTATTGAGTATGTCAAAGCCTTTGATTGTGTGGATCACAATAAACTGTGGCAAATTCTGAAAGAGATGGGGATACCAGACCACCTGATCTGTCTCTTGAGAAATCTGTATGCAGGCTAGGAAGCAAGAATTAGAACTGGACATGAAACAGTTCCAAATAGGAAAAGGAGTACGTCAAGGCTATATATTGTCACCCTGCTTATTTAACTTATATGCAGAATGCACCATGAGAAATGCTGGGCTGGATGATGCACAAGCTGGAATCAAGTTTGTAAGGAGAAATTTAAATAACCTCAGATATGCAGATGACACCACCCTTATGGCAGAAAGTGAAGAAGACCTAAAGAGCCTCTTGAAGAAAGTGAAAGAGCAGAGTGAAAAAGTTGGCTTAAAGCTCAACTTTCAGAAAACTAAGATCATAGCATTCGGTCCCACCACTTCATGGAAAATAGAGGAGAAATAGTGGAAACAGTGGCAGACTTTATTTTGGGGGGCTCCAAGTTCACTGCAGATGGTGACTGCAGCCATGAAATAAAAAGACACTTACTCCTTGGAAGAAAAGTTATGACCAACCTAGATAGCATATTAAAAAGCAGAGACATTAATTTGTCAACAAAGCTTCCTCTAGTCAAAGCTATGGTTTTTCCAGTGGTCATGCATGGATGTTGGAGTTGGACTCTAAAAGAAAGCTGAGCACTAAAGAATTGATGGTTTTGAACTGTGGTTTTGGAGAAGACTCTTGAGAGTCCCTTGGACTGCAAGGAGATCCAACCAGTCCATCCTAAAGGAGATCAGTCCTGGGTGGTCATTGCAAGGACTGATGCTGAAACTGAAACTCCAATTCTTTGGCCACCTCATGGGAAGAGTTGACTCACTGGAAAAGCCCCTGATGCTGGGAGGGATTGAGGGCAGGAGGAGAAGGGGACGACAGAGGATGAGATGGCTGGATGGCTTCACCGACTTGATGGACATGGGTTTGAATAAACTGCAGGGGATGGACAGGGAGGCCTGGTGTGCTGTGATTCATGGGTTCACAAAGAGTTGGACACGACTGAGTGACTGAACTGAACTGAACTGAACTCCCTTCTCCAGGGGATCTTCCCAGCCCAGAGATCAAAGTGGAGTCTTCTGCACTGCAGGCAGATTCTTTACTGACTGAGCCACCAGGGAAGTCCTGAGTCTCACTTCAGAGTTTATCTACTTGGCGTAGAACAAAACTACTGTAATTGAGTATCAGAGGAAAAATAGTATATTTGAAGTTAAAAGATCACGGACTGAGGTTAAGATTTCTCAATCAAGAACATGAGAAAATTCTTAAAACTCTAATTAATAGATTGCTCATTTGCAAAAGGAGCATTTTTTGAGAAGTAAATGTGATAACATTTATGAAAATAATTAAAATACAACACAGATAATAGTTATACTTGCTTTTGTATCTTGCTAATTTTAGTGTTATAATCTTTCTGGGTATTTTACACTAAAGATGAGAACTCATTTTACATTTTCTATTTTGAATATGGGATTTGATCTACTTGAGTTACCATGTAGAATGTGAGTAATTCCAAAATAGCAAACTAGAAATTATCAGTAGTGAAATGGCAGATTTATTTATACATAGTAAATTCCTAAGCTGCTGGTCATAGTTGCTCTTGTTTTTCTTTGAATTGATGAATATTTGATTTACAATGTTTTATTAGTTTCTGCTGTACAGTAAAATGATCCATTTATACACATGTATACATTATTTTTCAAATAATTCTATCCATTATGGTTTATCACCAGATATTTAATATATTTCTCTGTGCTATATAGCAAGGACCTTGTTGTTTATCCACTCTATATATAATGATTCACATTTTCTAACATTGACCCATCCACCCGCTTTCCCCTTGGCAACAACAAATCTGTTCTGTGAGTAGTTTTCTGTTTTATAAATAAGTTTGGTCATAGTATTTTTTGTTTGTTTGTTATGTTTTTTAATTATTTAACTGGATGACACTTGATTGATCTTTCAGTATGGAATGATTGCTGAGCATTTGAAGAAGCAGAAGATTAATGTGTACCTGTTAATATACACATTAACGTGTAGCCAGGTGGTGCAGTGGTAAAGAATCTGACTGCCAATGCAGAAGATGCAAGGGATGCAGGTTCAATCCCTGGCTTGGGAAAATTCCTCTGGAGGAGGGCATAACAACCTACTTTAGTATTCTTGTTTGGAAAATTCCATGTATAGAGGAGCCTAGCGGGCTATAGTCCATGAGGTCGCAAAGAGTCAACTGAGTGAGCATTTTATAGCAGTCTTCCATTTATTCACATGTGATTGTTTTTGTTATATTTTAAAGAAGTGTGAGCTATACTTGGGGTTATTAATGAGATTGGCTTTGTAATGCATCCACAACTGATTTCAACTAGAAAATGATATTGACCTAGATTTTATTTTCAAATGGTAAATGATATGTCTATTCCTTTATTTTTTTATTTTTTTTATATTGAATCTTTTTTTTTCCATTTATTTTTATTAGTTGGAGGCTAATTACTTTACATCATTGCAGTGGTTTTTGTCATACATTGAAATGAATTAGCCATGGATTTACAGGTATTCCCCATCCCGGTCCCCCCTCCCACCTCCCTCTCCACCTGATCCCTCTGGGTCTTCCCAGTGCACCAGACCCGAGCACTTGTCTCATGCACCCAACCTGGGCTGGTGATCTGTTTCACCCTAGATAATATACATGTTTCGATGCTGTTCTCTTGAAACATCCCACCTTCGCCTTCTCCCAGAGTCCACAAGTCTGTTCTATACATCTGAGTCTCTTTTTCTGTTTTGCATGTAGGGTTATAGTTCCTTTAATATTTTCAAAAACATTTCCTTTGTTTTGTGTATGTACTTGTAAGAGGACTGAATAATGTTTACTTGAATTAATTAGTTTGACATGTACAAAATTAGTATAGTCAATAGAGTCAATTAACTTACTGAGAACTTGTGTGAGTAGCTCTAGCACAAAAGATAAGCGTAGTGAGAAATATAGCTTTGACTTAAACAACAGATTGACTTCATATTGCAACTTTTACTTTACATTTACTTTATACCCATAATCTACTTCCCATATTGATAACATATCAAACCTAATAATGAAGTGGTTAATGAACTCTGCCTAAAAAACACACTCATTTTTGAATGAAAAGTGACTAATGCATTTGTAGAGCAATAGGTTATCTGAGAATGGGACAATATATACTAGTATACTATTGGGGGGAGTATTGCCATAAATGGTCTCTATTTACCTTTTACCATAAAAGTTATAACTCTATAAAATCAAAACAAATAGATTGAATTTGTGTGTTTGAAATCATTATTAGACTTGACTGTGGGCAGTTCATTTGATTCCTCTAAAATTCTAAAGCTAAGATAGTGATATATTCATTTACTTGTATACCAGATAAACATTTATTGTGGTCATCTTAACATTTTTGTTTGAAAATCATGCACCATTTCTGATGCTCAAATTTGTTTACTCACAGTAATGTCGTTCTGGCAGTAAATGATATGGACCTGGTCCAATTTCCTGGTTAAACCTGCAATGAAAAGCATTTTCTGTAGAGTATATCTAAAAGTAGTTTAGAGACAAATTGGGCAGTGGGAGGGAACTGTGATGATGTGGTTCATGAAAAATCAATTATTGATCACTTCAGCCTATGGAGTACATACATTGGGAATTTTTAAAACATTTTTTTTTTTTTTAATGCAGGACAATAAAAGACATACCTTAAAAACTGAAATGTGGTAAACTTTGGCAAAGGTGAAGAACACTGTATGACATTTATTTTGGATAAGAAAAATGGCTTAACATTTCTAACATAGTTTTCTCACAAATTTGTTTACACAGAGTGCTATGAGTGTCATTTTTGTTACTGTCATCATTAATATTCCTTCTGGTAGTTCTATTAGTGATAGGCACTAAAGTAGGCATGGTTATAGCCTACAAGAATGAGGGAACTGAAATCTTTCCTAATATTTTTCTCAGCTTACTCCTGAGTTATGTTACTGTTTTCTATTTATTTGTCATCAAATTTATTGATAATGTTATAAACTGGACCAATTAGAATAGATTTTTTTTTAGGGAAAAAATCTAGGATCATACATATGAAGGAAAAAAGTAGACAATTTACATAAAAGTTACCAATGTCAACAAAGCATTTTTAAACAATGGTATATTCTAATGCAAAGGAGATCTATAATTTTTCAATTAGTGTACATAGATAAATAAGCTTCTACTGTATCAGTTTGTAGATCTTATCTTTTACTAATTCATCATTTTTTTAAACTGAGTAAAGACACAATCATTTCCAATATTACAACTGAAATTATTTTTTAAAGTCAGTTTTTCATCTTTTCAAATGAATTCTTTCTCACAACTCACACAATTTTTATAATCAAATAATGAGTCTATTTAAAATTTTCTTTTACAAATTAAGATGCATACAAGCATCACTTTTTGATACCACTTTTACAAGACACAAGTCTTATCTGAATCAGAATTTGCTGCCATTTGGGGTTATATCTGATATGAATAATTTGTTAGATAAATACATTCATTTCCTAGAGCCATCATAACAAATTCCTACCAATTGGTAGCTTGACATAACAGAAATGTATGCCTTCTGAGTTCTAGGAAAAGAAATACAAAATCAACGTGTGGATGGGCTATGGGTAGGATCCTCCCTTGCCTCTTCCTGGCTCCTGATGGTGGCTTTTAATCCTGGTGTTTCTTGACTTACAGCAGCATTATTCTAGTCTCTGTCTCTAAGGTACACACTAGTATCCTCCTATGTATATTTGTTACTAAACTGCCCTTTTCTTTTAAGGATACCAGTCATATCAGATAAGGACTACCCTACTCACCTCATCTTAACTTGACTACATCTCCTAAGGCCCTATTTCCAAATAAGTTCACACAGGTACTGGGGTTATGACTTTAACATATCTTTTTAAAGGACAAAATTTAACTCTTAAAAATTTTAATAAAGGTCATGATAGGCAGATGCTGTATAAGGATAGACATTCAGATACACAAAGTAGTAATCAGATCAGAGATTCCCATTAATTAAAATTTATGGAAACTCAGCTGGGGGTCATAAATAATGGTTTCAAACCTTGTGAGGGAGAAAGACAAGATAGTGGCAGGCTCCCAATCCTAGAGGGGCTTTATTAAACAAAGATCCTATACAAGAATAAAACAAGGACAAACTAGGTAAAACTCAAAATTTGAGAACTAGACTGCTAGCAACAATCATGCAACTCGTGCCATTTTTAGAATAGAATTCCTCCAGAATAGAATTTCTCCAGCATAAAGACCTATTTTCTAGATAAGACTCAAAATTCAAGAACTAGACTGCCAACAACAATTATAGAACTGATGTCAAATCTTTCAAGCATGATAGAGGCTTGGTGAAGGCTAAAAGAGAGGTAGTTTTTGAAGGAGATCCAGGTTTCATTGAAGACCCAGAGGGATATGATGCTATTGAAGACATTGTAAGAGTATTTATTTATGATGAAATGGTGGGCCCATTTGGTACGGGTTATAGTGAATGTCACTAGGTGGATAATGAATCTGGGGTTCAGGATTGCAGAGCAATGTGAGAAAGAACATAAAAGAAAAAATATAGATCAAATAGTCTGGTTTTTGAGATGGGAACAAAGATAATAGCTATGTAGGATTGCATTTAAGTAGGCCTAGTATGATATGATAAATATTGAATATAATGCTAAATATGCTATGATAAATATTGAATCCTAGAGTATTTTATGCCTTTTAGTTTAAAATTTTCATATTGGTTTCCCTTACTCCTAACCTCATTTCTTAAATTTTTGTGACTGTGTATACATGAAAAAGAAGAGTTCAATGTAGAATGGGGAACATGAGGACAAAGGAACTTTCTGGGCATATCACTTCAAGGACTTTAACCATGATGACCTTCAGATAATAACTGTGGTTCAACTTCTTCCTCCAAATTTCGCTTAATTGTTTTCTTCAAAGACATGGGGCAAGAGGATTCTCTGAAAGGTAGTGTCATCATTTCAGATTTGATATATATTTTTTTGATAGCAACAGACTGCTTCTGTCATCATATAGCCACATTGAAAGAGAAAAGAACATGTGTTATCACAATTATGAAATGTTTCACAAATGTGAAATCCCAAAGTGTATATGATTTTACTAGGGACTGCCTGGCCACAATGTGTTATTCTATTTCAATATTTAAAGGAGCTCAAGTATCTGTCAGGTGGTTTAGATTTTGAACATATCAATTTTAGGTGTTTTTAATCTTTTTAAACTTATTGCAATTTCCTCCAGTGTACATGAAATGTGTCTAATAACTTATAGGCACTGTTATTCCTACTCTTTCCAGAACTGGTAAAACTGAAAACAGAACTGTTCATTTCTTTATGAGTGAGAAAGGTCCACAAATCAGTGTGAATGATCCCTAGAGAAATATTTAGAGTTACATAAATATATTTAGATATTCTCCTTATTTTTTGATGATATTATAGAGAAGAAAATACAGACACACATATTCTCAAATACATTTCTAATGAATGACAATTGACAAAACTCTAAATTGAAAGAGGCATAATTTAGAAAAATGACAGGAACAATTTGGGGAAACTATGCTATTATGTTATCACTAATTTTGAGTTGCTGCCTTTCATGCTTTCTTTTCTGTTTTTATTTTAACATGTGATAAATATAAAATATGAATTTTACTGTAAAACTGCAACTGTTTCAAATAGAAAGATAATTCCTCCTTTAACTTATCATAAAGCTATTGCCAGATCAATATTGAAACTTTCTAATAGCTAATTTATTAGTATATTATAAAGACTATACTTTTGAAAATATTCTACTTTAAGAATAAAATGTAAAAACATTTCTTCCTCTATACATACAAAATGGTTCTTTTTTTTTTTTAGTTTGTATCAGCAAATTTCAACAAGATAGGATATCTATCCATTAACATTTAAAAATGTGGTCTTAAAACTATACATGTGGCATATAAATTTTCTGTTGTGTAGCTTTCATTTTTTTCACACAATATTTTATACTAACCTATTGCCAGTAACACCAATAAATTCAAAGATATTTTACATTTAAGGAAATTAATTCATTTCAAAGGAAGAGAAAACAATGGTTTCATAATAGTAATTTGGTTGGCCAAGTATAATAGATACAGTAAAAATAATGTTTTTGAAAATTAGAGATACTGAGGAAACATTTCCTGCAAAGATGGTCACAATAAAATATAGAAACAGTATGGACCTAGGAAAAGCAGAAGATATTAAGAAGAAGTGGGAAGAATATGCAGAAGAACTATACAAAACAGGTCTTAATGACTTGGATAACCAAAATTATGCAATCACTCACCTAGAACCAGCCATCATGGAATGTGGAATCAAGTGGGCCTTAAGAAGCATTACTAAGAACAAAACTAGCGGAGGTGAAGGAATTCCAGTTAAGCTAATTCAAATCCTAAAAGATGATGTTGCTAAAGTGCTGTACTCAGTATGCAAGCAAATTTGGACAACTCAGCAGTGGCCAAAGGACTGGAACAGGTCAGTTTTCATATCAATTCCAAAGAAGAGCAATGCCAAAGAATGTTTAGACTACCACACAATTTCACTCACTTTACATGCTAGCAAGGTAATGCTCAAAATTCTATATTTTGAGAATTTTGAGAATTCTGTTTTTGAGAGAATAGCCAGGCTCCTCTGCTGATAGGGATTCTCCAGGCAAGAATACTGGAGTGGGTTGACATGCCCTCCTACAGGGGATCCTCCCAACCCAGGGATGCAACCCAGGTCTCCCACATTGCAGGCATATTCTTTACCAACTGAACCACCAGAGAGGTATTCTGAACTATATGCAAATCCTTCAGGGATCACGGTGGCTATGGGGTTTATACATATATATGTTCTGCACAGAGAAAAACAAATCATATAGATAGGAGATTTCTAGTTAAAAAGCAAATAATCGTATTACATGCCTATTGAAATTTAGGTTCAAAATATTTTTTCATCACTATTCAGTGGTTCATAAATTTTGATATATATCAAAATAATTTGAGAATTTTGCTTTTTAATGAAAATAATTGAACCCAGTCTGAGGATATTCTGGAATTTTAGTTCTGGCATGGACTCTCTCTGCTAGATTTTTTAATTAAAGCTTGTTGTTGTTTTTCTATTTGAGATACTTGTAGATCCACATGCAATTGTAAAAAATGATACAGAGAGAGCTTATGTGCCTTTACTCCATTTCCCAGAATGGTGTGTGTGCAAGCATGCTCAGTCATTTCAGTAATGTCTGACTTTTTGCGACCCTATGAACCATAGCCCACCAGACTCCTCTGTCCATGGGATTCTCTAGGCAAAGATACTGGAGTGGGTTACTGTTTTCTCATGGAAACGTCTTGCAAATTATAGCTCAGTGTCAGGATCAGGATACTGATACAGTAAACATAATGAACTGAGGCGAGATGGACTTGTGTTTGGACTGTCAGAACGGCAGGAAACTGGGGAGGGAGACTTAAAGGGGTAAATCCAGAAATCCCTGCACAACTTCTCCTTAAAACCATAAGTGACTTCAAAACTTGTTCCTGTATATGTTGAGACTTGTTAAGAAACATAGGGGAAAGCTAGAGGCGTGATCTGTAGCAAGGATTTCAGAAGTTCCTTTGTGCCAGAGAGGTCAAGTTTCTAGATTAAAGTAGAAATTAGAGATGTGCCAAATAAGTGAAGCATCTGATCTTGATAAGAGACAAAAACAATAAAATGAGAAAGTCTAAAATATTTTTTATTGAATTTTTAGAAAGAGATGAAAGAATGACTGGGGTAGAGAAATGTTTGAAAAGGTAATGACTGAGAATTTTCTGATATTAACAATACAGCTATAAAGAAGAAGCCCTATGAACCACAGTAATATGAATAAAATCAAATTGATACACATCATTGTAAAACTGTGAAAAATCAAAGAGAAAAAAAAAAAAAACAAGGCAGCCAAGGGGGAAAAAAGGTAGGTTACCTTCAAAGAAACAACAGATAAAAAGAGATTATTCCTCTATGAAAACAATGCAGACCAAAAGGCAATGGCAAATAACCTTTCAGAGAGCTGAAAGGAAAACACTGATGACCTATAATGTTGTGTCCCTTGATAGTATTCTTTCAAGAATGAAACAAATAGGAAATAATTTTAGCAGAAAAGCTGTACCAAAATTGCAAAATATCAAAGCACACTTCAGGAAAAAAATGGGAAATGAACTCAAAAGGAAGCTCATCTTGTATGAAGGAATTAAGAAAAGTACAATGACTAAATATAAGGGCAAATCTAGATAAATATTGATATATAAAACAATGATATCTTTGGGGGTTTAAAATATACACAAAATTGAAATACCAAGAAACAATAGCACATGAGCTGGATGAGCAGAAAGCAGAAATAAAATGTTAGAAAGGCCTTCTGTTTTTATTGGTAAGTCCCCAGGTGGCTCAGTGGTAAAGAACCTGCCTGCCAATGAAGGAGATGTGGGTTTAATTTCTGAGTTGAGAAGATTTCCTTGAGAAGCAATGGCAACCTACTTCAGTATTCCCACCTGGGAAATCCCATGGAGACAAGAGCCTGGCAAGCTACCGTCCATGAGGGTTGGAAAGAATCACATGTGACTTAGTGACTAAAGCAACAACAAAGAGGATACTCGTTTTCATTATTAACATACACTTTAATAATAATAAAAAGTGAATAACCAACAGGCCAATGAACTATTTAAAATATATTAATGCAAGGAAATGGAGGGAGGAAAATGGAGGTATGTACATATGATAAACATATTCAACATAGGTGCTAAGGCAAATCTACTGGGGAAAAGAGAGCATCTTCAATAAATGGTACT